TCAAAAGTCTAATTGTGTGTTCCTGAATAATGAGTTCATTTAAGAGCCAAGGTTATTAAAATACATCTCAAACAAATTTAAGGACATTCTGTAAAAAGTAACTCAGATAAAGACTGTGCTCAAACAACAGCTGCAGAGGAACTTTCATGAAGGACTAAGTGCCCTTAAATGATCACTTGAGTTCTAAACCAGGAGAAGGTGAAATATTAAATGCATATTTAACATTTGAGAATATCTGACTGCGTAGAATTCATGCAGTAGTAGACAACTGCACTAAGTTACAAGCTGTGGTCAGTGGAAGTCTTTTTGATCTTTTCAAAAAGCTTTAAATTTAGCTCCACCTAAATAGATTATGATAGTTGGTAAATTTTGAGAATAAGCATAATATTCACTTGAACTGGAAAATGTTCCTATTATAGTTTGTATCCCCTTAGTCTGTGAAGCTGGGACAGTACTTAATGAATCAAGGTGTTTTACTGTGGCTGCTTTGGCATGTATGTCTTTATGTTGAAAAGATTATGTTGCTTTCCCAAAAAGGAAAGGAAATAGTTCTAGAACATTGGCCCATGATGTGGGGTAAATGTGTTTAATCACTTACACCTAATCAAAAAGTACTCAGACTCAGTGCATGATGACTTCAGTCTTGGAATTGTTATCTCCAATCCCAGTAAACAATTCTTGTTTTTCATGAGCTAATGGAAGCTATCCTCTTTATATGTTAATTAGAAAAACTGTATCATTAGAAAATTATTATCACATTGTTCTTGGTTTTACCTTATTTAATTTCTTTCTCTCAGAAGAATAACTCTTCACTGGGATTTGTGAAACATCATACTAAAATGGAGATAGATATAAAGGAATTTAGGAAATAACTGAAAAAATATAATTAAACATGCAAATTTCAACAAAATAAATATTTTTAGATTAGTTTTCAAATACCACTGTAGATAAATATATTCATTCTAATGCCAGCTGCCATTTCACATGGCTGTAGAGTTTTTAATTTTTTTTCATTATATACAGGGATGTGATAGTGATAATAAATGAATTAGCTATTTCAGTATGATGTACTTTAGAAATCCAAAATTTAATAATTTAGTCTAAAGAAGTTTTCTAGATTTCATCTAGAAGATTTTCCAGTTTCAAGTTTCTTCAACCCACCTATAGCAAAAATGCTTCCACCAATGAGAACAATAACATCATCTTTTCTTTAATGTTCAGCTGTAGATAAAATATTTTTATCAGTATGCAATTATGTTCTGTTTAAGCTTGATTGTTCAACTGCCAGGCAGAACTTTGAGCATCTACATGTGTGAGTATCAGATGATTTTATTTCTGCTATTCTTTGAATTCTATTCTCATTCACTGAAATTACTTTACTTAGAAAACCACAAATATTTATCACTATACCTACATTTATCTAGTAACACAATGAAGTTTCTTCTTCATCTACAGGGTTCATTTGGGATAATTTCTATATGTCCACTTACACTTTTTTTTTCATTGGACTGTAGTTCTATTTTGGACCTTAATTTACATTTTATGGTGGGTCTAAAGTATAATAAATAAAACTTCTTTGCACTTTTTGTTAGCCTTCAGACCAGTTTTGTCCAACTGCAGGTCTTCATTCTTTAACTGGGCACTGTTAAAGTGGGTTGCCTGTTGTTCCAGGGTCTCCCATCTCTGATCACAGCAGTGCTCCTCACATCACATCCCATGTCTCTACTTCTCAAGGTCTCTTGTGATGGCACCAGCCCTGAACTTGTATACAGCACTGCATTAGACTAGTAAATGCAATTAAACATATGAAGTCTATTTGTTCCTATTTATTTAAACCTATGGTTATTCCATATAAGGATAAACAAAAGTAAAGCAAATCAGAAGAAAAAGCCATTGTCACAATTAGGCCAAGGAAAGCATCACTGCAGGAGAGTCTGATGACTCTCAGTTCTTTCAAATTCAGTGCAAAGCTTATGGTCTACTGCTAGAAAAGGCAGTGTTGTTCTGCAGGGATATGGGGGGAAAACCCTCAGTTTACTTTTAGAATTTGTATTGAATTTGTCACCTTTCCTTCTTATGTTCCCAAAGTCCATTTAAAGGACTCCTCACTCCACTGGTGTTTCTTCATCAATGTCGCATTTTAGTCTCTTTAGAATTCTTAGCTGAATTTTACCTGGATTGGGGTATTTGTAGCTGTTTATTTAAATAAACTAGCAGGTTTATCAGGTATAGACATAAGTACACCAATTTATCTGTTTCTTAGCTGGCTGGTATGAACCCCAGCGCTATGCAGCTCTTTTAGCTAATCATGGCTTCTAAGATAACAAATACACAGATGAGAAGCAAGGTATATTCTTTCAGATTTAGTGTATCATTGTAAATAAATATCTTATTCCATGGTACACAGAAAGTGGAAGCTAGAAGCTGTCTAAAAGGAACGTAGAGAGATTATGTGTGTGTATGGATGGAGTTAGAAAAGCTAAAGCTAAGCTGTAAATTAAAAGAGCAAGAATCAAAGAGAAGAAGAAAGTGTCCTTTAAGTATATCGGTAGGAAAAAAAATTAGGGAATATAATTAAAAAATTTAACTTTTAAGAACACATCCTTAGATAAATAGCATATAAGGTAATTTACAATAATAAATAGTGCAACAGTAGTCTTTAATCAATTTTTTTCGCTCCTCCTAATGTTGTAAAATTTCTTTATTTTCCCGTTTGTTCCTTGGGCTTGCTGAACTTATTACTGATAGAAGAATAACATGCTTAATTGTGCACAAAAATCTTGTTTGAGTTCTCTAAGTACTGCATTTCTCAATTACTCAGCCCTTACTCACTATGAAGTGATAATTAGGCATTAAAAGCTAAGTGGATTACTGTGGAGATCTCTCCTGATATCCATTTATCACTTAATCAGACTTTAATACCATAAATTATGCATTTCTCAGCAGTCTTCAGATTCCAATAAATTTTATCACAGTTTTGAATTACTAGGTTTTCTTGACCGCATTGTGGTGGGGAAAAGTCATAAAGTTTGCTTAAAGGATACAGCCACTCTAAGAATTTCAGATTTATAGCAAAATAATTCTGAAAGCCTGTTGGGTTGCACTAATATTTATTCATAAGGGTTTTTTGGACAAGACAATTCCATCCTCATGAATAAACATGAAAAAAATTGATCCAAAATACATATTGAGTTGAAGTTTTCCACAGCTTTTTTTTCCTCCTGATTTTGCCTTCCACACCTCATTAAGAAGAACAAAATAAGACAAACCCCACAATTCCTAGGAGACTGCAGCTTCCTCAGCACATTCTGTTGCTTATGGAATGAAAATGTCTATTTATGCTGGCCACTATTACAGAAAAAGTGGCTTTCTAAAAGTATAAATCATGATGAAATCTCCCCAGAAATGCAGATTTTTGGGTTACCATTAGAGTCAATATGAGCAGACCAAATGAGAGTCTTGAAAATGTTAGGTCAGGTTGCCCAATGTGTAATATTACATCTTATAATAATAAATAGCAAGAAGTACCTAATTTCCTATTTTTCTATGTCCTCTATTATTACGTATTACTTAAAAATGTTTTTTACTCAGTAAAATTTATAAATTAATGTAAAATATAATCTTGGCTGCTAAAAATTTGATAGATGTTAGTGGGCAATTTTTAACTGAGGCGTGAAAGGATAAAATAAATATTAAAAGTCCTTAAAAACATGCTGGTCGATGTCTCTCTAAATACATGAGATTGCACTTTTAGTTGAACACCTGTTGGCCCAAAATAGATTTTTTGGCCAACAAATCACAGCATATTCCTGTTTACATTTACAGAAGTGCATAGAAAGCAGTCTTCAGGTCTTAATTTGGCACTGTATTCCAGCATACTAAAAGTGAATGAAATTGGCAGAAAATACTGAAGGAGAGTCATAGTTGTTTTTTTACCAAATGTTATCCTATTAATTTGTGTTTCTTGATGTCTCTAGCTTTAGATGAAAAGGACAGATGATTAAAAATTTTAAAGCAACTTTGTTAATTGAAGTAAATTTATTTCCTTTTTTTTGGCACATGAAGAATTTCAAATAAAATACTAACTTCTGACTCAAAATTTTACAGGAAATATTGTCTTGTTTAATAAATTATCCACATTTCTTGTATATTCCTGCCAAACATTTTTCTCCTGTACAACTCTTCTATGTTTTCAGCTTAAGATATAAGGTATAATAACATAACAGTGATTACAAGCAAGTTTGTGGTAAAAACATCAGTAATTTACACTTTTTGTATTTTCTGAAGATTTCCTCTTCAAAATACCTCGAAACCCCTGAACCTTCTTCTAGTTTTCACAGCAGTAAAGATTTTTTTCTCTTTTCTCTATTCCTTATCCTTTCTAAATTTGGAAACTGCTGCCCCCACCTTCCCCACCCCAAATTCATGCTATAAAATTAGTAAATTAAAAAGAAAAAAAAAAAATTAAGGAAAATTAAACAAAGCACATCAATATCAAGGAAAAAAGAATCAAGAATGCATACAGAGAATTCATTAAATTGTTTTTTGTACCAAAAAGAATAAGAAAAAAAAGTGAAAATGCTTCCTTTCCATCAAAAGGACTTGTTTTCCAAGACTAGTGGTAAATCCGATGGTCTTCCTTACTGATTAATATCACATTGCCAGAGATGTATCTCTCTTCAGTACATTTTTTTTAGAACTGTCCAGTTACAAGTTTAATTATTTCTTTCTGCTGGGCTAAAAGCAGTTTTCAGCTAAATGAGCAAGTTGTTTGGTGATTTTTTTTTTAAAACACTGAGATCTATTTTTTATATATATAAGTGGAGTGAAAAAGAGTCTGAAAACATACACAAGTTCTTTAACCAATATTCCAGAGATCTTATTTAAAGAAAGTTATTTTATATTATATCTATCAATATTGTTAATATGATTTACAGTGTTTCCTTCAGAATGTGATATTAATTCCTAATCTTTTTAGGACTTTTTTTTTCCTAACTCAGGAGAATTCTGTGAGGTGAAAATTGACAACTGTGGCTCCAATTCATGTGAAAATGGAGGAACATGTATTAGCTATGAAGATCATTTAAAGTGCACTTGCCCTATAGGTGAGCCATTGGTAATTTATTATATTTTTTAACAAAACAAATAAAATGTCATCCAAATATTTATGTTAAGAAATAACAACATAAAAATAGCAATGTATCTCAACAAATGCAGTGAACATTTTTATGAAGAAAGGCACTTTTTCTCTTTGTTCAGGAAATAAAACTGCCAAATAACTCTACTAGAGTGGTGTTAACTGCTAACACCCTGAACAGACACAATGTCAATATTCTGAATGAACTGTGATTAAACATTCTCTTTGTGGTGCAGGTTTTGAAGGTGAAAGATGTGAACTCGATATTGATGCCTGCCTATTCAACAATATAAGCTGTGCCCCAGGAGCACTGTGTATGGATAAATCTCATGGATTTAATTACACATGTTTATCACCATGTGTTGGAAACACAGAGGTAGGATAAAACAATATATTCCCCCCAGCGTTTTTTTGGGAAATCAAACACCCTATTCTAATAGCAGTGAGCTGATGAAGCCTCATTTCACACAGGTTTCCTAAACATAGTACTCATTCTTGATATATTCTGATGCTTTTTCCTGTGTAACATATGCATGTAAAAGTGCATGATCTGACTAGTCTGGTCATTTCCCAACAAACTGTATAATTTCTGAGCTCTGCCTTTCTTGTTCTTTATAGGTTCAGTCACTGATGTCTCCTTCTGTCCCCTGCTTGCTTCTGCTATATTATGAAACTTGAAGAACTTAGGGCAAAATCTCTACGCAATTTTTGATGTGTTTAAGTTACCAGATAGAAGGTTGATGGTACAGCAATGCACAGAGGGAATGACAAAGTTTCATTTCCATTACAAACAAAAATAAAAACCATATTCAACAACAAAAAAAACAAAACTAATTACACTTCAGTGGGAGCTGAAAATGCAGTTAGAAAAAAATCTAAATTCTCCTTGCAAGTTACTCTTCAATGCTCATAGGATATGGAAATGAATACTACTTTTGCACTTTCAAAGTTTTCTAGAAGAAATGCATTAGTTGTGTCTTTCTCATTCTCCTTTAGTGACCTTTTAAATTAAATTTGGGTAGGATTCATTCATATCAGGGTGAACTATGAGATTTTGATATGGGTTAAACTAAAATACTATTGCATTTTCTTACTATGATAGTCCTTTTAAAAGCTCTGTAAATAAAGCTATATAGCCTTCCAAACAACTACAAAAACATGATAATGAGTGGTTTACAGGCATTATAAATTCTTTTCTTGAAATATATGCACCATAAAAATATAGTATGCATAGTAAGCAACTTATTTACAAAGAACCATCAATATTTGTCACCTTGATGTCCATGGGTAGACACTTATCAGTGAATATGAAATATAGCACTGAAAAACTCACTGGTTCAAGGGTTTATACTTAAATTGTTCAGCATCTGGTAAATTTTAAAATTTTTATTATTTAAAGTGTCATACTGAATGTAAATACATTGTACATGGCATGGCATCATAATGGTTCAATTATCATTATGGCTAGTTAGTATGGGAAGTGATATTGTGCCAAGGATGCTGATGGGACCTAGTAAACCATTTTACTGTAATATTTGCTTAAAATCCCTCAGACATATTTAATCTATTCATACAAACATTCATATACTATCTAAATGTCACATGGGAAAAAGGTAATTTTATATATAAATATATCTCTCAATATATCCTCACTGTATGAGATGCTTGATTTGGGCATAATGTGAATAACTAGTAGATTTTCTAATTGAAAAAGGAATAGTATATAAAATTATGGAATTATATACTGGAGTCTTACCTGTTTTCTTAGCTTACAGATCATTAAAATGATACAATTTCCTTATTGGAAGAAAGAAGGACTGTATTCAATTATTTTAGTACATTTCTGAAATCAAAGATTAATGTTAGTCAATAAATTTCATTATTCATCATTTAATTCTGAATTTATTTGTTGTGGATAGAAAATAAGTACATATCTTTGCATCCTTTCATTACTTTTACATTTCCAAGGGTACCTCAATTATGCTGAACTGCTGTGTATTCAGCAAAATAGATTGAAAACAATGCTACTATTTGTAATATTTCCTTCATGAACAAAAAAAAAGATGTACTTAATGGGAGCTCTTTTATCTCTGTACAAATATATAAGGCTATTAATGCATTAGGGTTTGGCTTTTTTTTTCAAGCCCCAAAATTAATATAGTACAGTTGTTTTAAACTTCTTTTTTTTTTTTTCCAAACTAATATTAAAAAAAAAAAATTGAGGTGAACAGGGGATATCTTCCTTTAAACTTCAAAGCAAATCTTAGCTTTGTAATTAGGATAATGGCTGTGAAGGAACTCTAAATCAAAATGTTGTCATCTTTAAATTAGTGGCTTCCAACAGGACCAAATTTAGTCACTTTATGTTATAACACCTTTCGTCTGTAATGTACTCAAGTAGACATGAAAAGCAATAAAGAAAAATATCTCTTTTTCCATTTTGATACTCAATATATGCTACAAATATTAATATTTTTATTAACAGGAGCTCATAGAGAATTTGTGAGATCACTCATAATGACAAATAATTGCAGTGCAACGTGACAGGCCTAAGTAACAGAATCACAGAGCCATAAAACAGCCCAGGCTGGAAGGGATCTCATAACACCATCTAGTCCAACCTTTCACTCTCTATAACTACATGGAAGGGCTGCAGCCAGGTGGGGCTCAGCCTCTTCTCCCAGACAACCAGTGACAGGACAAGAGGACATAGCCTCAAGCTGTGCCAGGGGAGGTTAAGGCTGGATATCAGGAAGGATTTCTTCACAGAAAGGGCTGTTAAATTTTGGATTAGACTGCCTGGGGAGGTGGTGGAGCCACCATCCCTGGAGGTGTTTAAGAAAAAACTGGATGTGAGATAATGCTATGGTTTAGCTGAAGTGGTGGTGTTCGATCAGGGGCTGGACTCCATGATCTTGAAGGTCTTTTCCAGCCTTAATTCTATGATTCTATGTGTGATTATGTTTGAGTGGCTACAGCTGCATCTTAAGAATTTTATTTTTTCCCTTAAAACACTTATTTTTCAAAATTCTGTCAGCAAGCTCAAAAAAGTCATTGTTTCCTTTAGCTCTTATGAAAAATTTGAAAGTGTAACCATAAACTATGGGCACTGCAAGATGCTGACCAATGGTTTCTGTTTCTTAAAAGAAAGCATAAGAACTAAAAAATACTTTTCAAAATACTTTTCAAATATTTTCCATTCTCTTTTCAGTTTTAAGATGTAAACAGATGTGCTTAGCAGACATCAATCTGGTTTGTCATAAATAATTCCTATATTGTCGCTCCGATTGGGAACGGCGATAAAGAACGACAATGGACTCTCAAGGGAGTCACAACACGAGAATTCCCTGGTTTATTGCTTCAGCTCTGTCTTATAGACAGATACGTGGAAAAGTACAGAAAAGAAACTCCTATTGGTTAACAAAGTACTACATCACTATCATTGGTCAGGGGCACTTTGCCCCCCTGACTCTCTCCTGCGAGGAGAAACAACAGGCTGCAAAACAACACCTGCAAGGCTGTTTAGTATCTCTGAGAATTGTTTTAATTCCTTCTCATGAATTTCCCAGGCTAGCTTTCAGTCAGGCCTGAGAGCTATGTGGCCTGTAATAACTACAGGCACTCTGGTTCAGATTTAGCATCCATACTATATGAGTTAGGAACTAAACACATCTGAACATTTCTTTCAGGGTCTATCTACAGCTTTATAATATTGAAGTTTATTGAACTCCACTCACATATTTTGCTTGAAAATTTTCTCTGTTTATGAGCCAAGGTCCCATATTGCACTTGCAGTCAAGTCCATAGTTCCAACCTTTTCAATGGGATTATCTATATTCTTAATATTTATTTAGTGTTTAGAGGAGCTGCCACTCCCATGTTTGCTCTGGTCCTTATGTGCGGTTCAATTTTACAAAGTTTCCACATCTGTAAAAACAAAGCAATTTCTATTTTTGATATTTTTAAGACAAACATTTTATCTACTTGATTAATGTACCACTAGTCCAGAAAAGAATATAGGGAAGATCAAATAAAATTTCACTTCTTGAAAAATTTGAATACTCAGGTACAATTGACTTTGCAGCAATAAAACGTGGAACTATAGTAAAATTACATGCTTGGGGGAAAATATACATATGTGTGTGTGGTTTTATTTAATATATGTAAAATGCAGTTTCATTCAAACTGCAGAGAATTCCATGAAATGTAAGATGAAAGAGGGGTTGGAAATGATGACTGCCATCTTATCTCGAGCATTTGACAACACGTGATACTTCGAGAAGAGACAGACATATAATAGGGTTATATCCCTCAATTCCTGAAAAGGAAACATAGGAGAAGAGTAAAAAATTTCCTAGCTGGAATAAAATCTCCTGGATGATTTTGGAAGAAAGTGATTCTTACATTTTACCACAACTACATAAAAAGGCAGATTTGTGTTAAGTGCTTGCTGTGGACAGAAGTTTGGTGGTCAGACAGACAAGAATAGGCCTATCTATAGTTTTTTGAAACATAAGATTTGTGTTTAAATCCATTCCATAGCTTTCATTTCAATTTAAATCTTTAGATTACACTAATATCTTAAAGGGTAGCACCTTTCTTCTCAGTATAAAGTATCAAAATGACATAAGAATAAATTAAACATAATATTGTGACAATATTGAAGTATTTGTCTTAATTGCCTTAGGTTTTTATGTTGAACTGTGTTTTTCATAAAGATGTTATATTGCATAAGTAACCCAAGGTAAGCCTAAAATTCAGTACAGGGAGCATAACAAAAATCTCTTCATTTTAAGGTCAATTTAAAACTTAATCAAAGACAAATGAATATTAGAATATTTCTGCCAAAGACTGTTATTATTACAAATCTTAATGACATTATAAAGAGATTCAGACTCAATCAAACTGAAGTACTGGTGCATTAACTCATCTTCTAGACACCATTTTCTTTAAAAACCAATTGATTAGAAGGAGGGGTCTTAATTGCTTTGAAATGAATATGTAGTTATCTGTCTTCATACTGGCAAAATTTTCATGGAAATGAAAATGGAACCTAAAAGTAAAATGAGGACAAGACCATTAATGCAGAGTCATAACTTTCTGCAATTTTTGAAGAATACAGGAAATATTGGCTTAGTAAGTAATATTATCAATTTAAAACAAAAAAGCAAAAAGCTGTTCCATTCTTTATCAATCTTTTAATATCTGAAAACTGGAAATAAAACAGCTTCTGATTTTCCCACAGCATAGATGTAATTTATAAACATATAAAACATTCAAGGATGGCTTGAATCAGCATTAAAATTAAAAAAAAAAAAACAGTCTTTTACTGATAGCCATATATTAAGCTAAACTATACAGCATAGGAACAGTTGATCTACTCCTTCAAGGGAAAAATAACAGTCTAGACAGTTGATCTACTCCTTCAAGGGAAAAATAACAGTCTAGTTCACTAGTGTCCCTCCTAAAACAAGCACATTTTAAGGGCAGTTGTAAAAATGCCCTTAAACAGTTAAATACTGTTAAATTAAAATATAAATGTCTTCTACCAACTAAACAATAAATTGATATATTGATTTAATAACATTCGGTATTCAGTATCAGTATTCTGTACCTTCTTGGAGATATAAATTTTTTAATATTACAACATAAAAAGGTAAAATAACCATAACTATTACCAATGGCTTATTCCATTAAACTCTTGGGGAAAAAATCCAACATGCAAAGAAAAAACTCTTTATGTATGTGGTAGGTTGATCCA